CCACCAAAAAAAAAAAAAAAAAAAAGACATACAACTATATGCTGCCTACAAGAGACAGAATTCGTTTCAAACACAGGTAGGTTAAGATTAAAAAGTGATACCCTTTTTTTATTCCAAATACCCAAAAAGAGAGCTGGAGTGCCTATACCAATTTCAGACTAAAAACACAATGCAACATTCTGTGTCTTTTGGGTAGATGTTAATGTCAGGAATCTCATCTGCCTGAGGCTTAAGGCAAGCCTTGCAAACAAGTGCAGTTGGGGTCCAATGCCCACCAACCTTCGGATCTCCGCATCGGTAAATCCCTCCACAAGGTCTTTCTGGACACTTCGGGGGCGCCCTCTGCGCTTGGGCTTCTTGTCATCATCTGAGTCATCAGTCTCACTTTCAGAAGCAGAAGATCGCTGGGCCTGCCTCTTAGACTCGGTGTCAGAATCACTATCATTTGCCTGAGCCTGGAAAATAAGAAGCAAAGTCACACTACAGCAAGCATCAGGTCCATGCAACGACAGGACTGAAGAACATCCATCTTGATCCTCTAGTACTCAGACAAGTCAATTTTCTTTAACAAGGAGGCAGATGTAAAATATGAGAGAAAACTTGCTTGATACTTAACGTTTCAGAGATTTTGCAATATAACAATAAAGGGAAATGGATTAAAAACATTTGAACACGGGAATGGTGGAGTGGCTGAAACATAAGAAGTACCTGCCAAGTAAGCAAGAGGCCCTGAGTACCAACCCCAATCCTGACAAAATATATTTATATAGATTTGGACACTTTTATAACATCTAATATAAACATCATCTAATATAAAACAGGCTCATGTTTAATTACTCAGGCATATAACTACTTATCTTTACCGTTGTTTTCTCCCTTGTGAAATGGGGATGAAAAGTACAATAGTCCTATGACATAGGAAAGGGATTTTACAAGGAGTGAAATGCATTTAGAATTGTGCCTGACATAGAAAGTGCTCATTGAACAGCAGTATTACTACCTGATACTGACTTACTATAATGAGGATTCACTGTAATTTGCTGTAATCCTGACTTACCTAATACTGATTTACTGCAATGGTGAACAAATTTAAGTCTACTATCTCCAACAAAATGAGCAATTAAACTTGTTTTCCCGATTTCAGTGTTGTTGTTAAAAATTGTATTAAAATGGTGCCCATCAAACCAACTAAAATGAGGACAGAAAAAAACCAAATTAGTAGAATCAGGAATGCTAAAGGGGAGATAACAACAAACACCATGGAAGTCCAGGAAATCATCAGAGACTACTTTGAGAACCTATATTC